TTTGGATTTAATGTATCAGGAGGAAAGAGAGTGCTGTCTTTAAGGCACAGAAAGACGGAGTAATAAACAGGGGAGGTATTCCAGATTCGTTTGTCTAAGCAGAAGTGAAGTAAGAGCCTGCCAAAAGCAAGCGATAATCCCAGCCCTCTTCACTTTCTCTGATCCCCACCCAGATGCCTCCATCACCAAATCAGAGTGAGGCGCCCTGGCTTTCCATGGGCAAAGTCTTGGTCCCTGGGGAATCTCCAATACAGCGTGGTTTAAAGATCTCTTCCCTGAATCCACTTCTCATCTGTAGTGAATCAGGCAAAGACAGTGATTGAAATCGCTCCCGGCAGCATCAAATATCAGTGTTTCTGACTTTGACAGCTTCAAGACTTGTCACTAACTTTTCGCAAGCTGAGGCTTCATCCTTTCACTCCAGTTGCTTTTACTGTGGTATCCAGAGTCAGTTTCCATCCTGGGTCGGTTATACGGCACTCATGAATATTTAAATACTCCAGTATATTGTCCTTGTTCCTCTTCTAACCCATGTCCCCTAGGAGCTGACCTAAGCATTCTTCTACTCTACTGGTTTGTGCAAGGGGGAAAAGTGTGTATTATTTATGTTTTCTTTTTGGCACTACTGTGTTAAAATATCAGGGGCATGGTTTTATTTTCTATAATGTCTGTGAATAGTCTACAAAACATTGCAGTTATGCTGCACATATGTAACAGAGCAGTGATGGACGTGAAGTTCAAAGCAGGAAAGTTCAGAGACCAAAACTCATCTACTGAGAGCCAGATTTCAGGGTTGGAAATACAGAACCAAAGTGCATTTGCCTGCTTCCATTTCTTGATCATTAATTACAGTTATTCAATTAATAATTCAGTGTCCTGAACTATTTTGATAACTCCTCATTAAGAGAATCAAAGCTGATAATTAAAAGATGGGTCAGAGACCTTATCTGCAGAGAGTAAAGGCCCAAATGAACAACATAAAAGATGCCTCATTTTATATTCCTAACATGTAACGGAGCCATGAATATTGATGATGCCAAATAGAGAAATGAACCAAAGGAAGAGCTTACAGAATCCTGCTTTGTTCGAGCCCCAAAATCAATACCTCCAGGACTGCAAAACATGTTTCACTAACTGTTCATTAATTATTTACAGGGCTCTTTTGTTCAAAGTTTCTGTTTACAAGATTACTTGGTAACTTGAAATGTTTGTTTCCTTTCACATGACTGTTGGACAGGCTTATGGTTTTCATTAGGTGAACTTAAAGAGCCCAGTCTGTGTGAGCCTGGCGCCTCCTGTCTTGAGTTTCAGGTTCAAATCAGAGTACCCTGTATACCATGACCTTCTTTCCAGGGTGTTCTTTCTCGCACCAGAAAGGTGTTCCAGGCCAAGGCATTTGTCTGCACAAAGAAAGCCACAAGGATTTTCAGCATTTTACCCAATTGACAGCCAAGGTCAAGTGACGGCAGTGCTCCTTGAGTTTGTAAGATTATCTTTCTTTTACTTTCTCAAAGCGTGAACTTACTTAGAAGCAAAGAACATGCTGTAAGATCTACTCTTTCCTCATCCCCAATTTTTTGTGAGCTGCATCCATTTAGACCTTAATCCTCAATGGGTTTGTTTTTGAGGTTCTGGGGATTGAACCCAGGGCCTTCACACTGAGCTGTATCCCCAGCCCTTTACTTTTTATTTTGAGACAGGGTCTTGATGTTACTACCATCTGGGTTTAAACTTGCAGTCTTCTGGACTCAGCCTCCCAGAATGCTGGGATCACAAGTGTGCACCATGACACGTAGCTAAGCCTGTTTTGAGGAAGTGCTGTCTAGTTCCTCTTTTGTAGGAAGTACTTTATTCATAAAAGGTACATGAAATTATTGAGTATGTTCCTAGTTGACTACCGTGGTATGATTTTTAGAACACAAAGACTCCTATGAGGTGGCATTGGTTTTAATGTTTGTCCTGTTCAAAATGCAGGTTGAAATTTGATTGTGTATTGGGAGGCAGGGCCTTCAAGAGGTTGTTAAGAGACTAGTGCTATTCTCATGGCAGAGTTCTCAGGCAGGACAGGATTAGCGAGGTGTCCCTACCATTATATCTCTGTCACTTTCTGCCTTGTCACGTTGCCTTTGCAAAACACCACTAGGTCTTTGGACTCTGCAGCCCCTGCACTCTTCAGCCACAATAATCTTTCTACCTGATTGCAGGTGTTGTTTTAGCAATCAAAGTTGGACCGAGACAGAGGTGTAGATATCTCTATCTTCACTTTACAGGTAAAGAAACTGCAATTTGTATAATGTTTTGGGATGAAGTAGCAGAGCCATAATTCCAAGGCAAGTTTGTTTGCCTCCAGAAATTGAACTCTCTGCCAGGATTTTCCAGTGTTCTAATGAACTCAGTTTACATACATAAATGAATGACAATACATACATCAATGAATGACAGGGCTGGGCTCCAATACATATTTGCAAAGTAGACAAGCTGGATTTTACCTATGAGCCACAGCTGGACAATCCCTAAAATAGAGAACTCTGTGTATTTTAGGTTCTTCTTTTAATAGTGCTTTGCTAATTCTGAGGTGAAGGTGATCATCAGAATAGGCCTGGATTCATCTCAACAGCCCATTTTGAATATAGGGTTGATATTTAATCCATAAAACATTTATTGATTAGGACACACTACCGTTAACCTCACTCAGAATACCCCCTACTCCTCACTTGAAACACACTTAGCTCATCGCTCTTGCCACTTTCTGAAGCAGTTCTGGAAGTCCTCTTTTCAGACTCTTGGTAAATTGTGATTAAAAAATGTGGTGAACGCTGCCACCAAGTGCCAACAGAAAGGCAGACTCCCTGAGAACATTACCTTGTATCCATCCTATTCACCAGGTCTGGCGCTGTGCCCCAGATGAACTTTTTGAATCCACAGAGAACATCAAGGCAGCCATAGCAGCACAACTAAAGACACAAGACAGGACTTCCAGAATTGCTCCAGAAAATGGCAAGGAATAGGATAAGTGAGTTTGAGGAGAGGGGAGGTATTTTGAAGGGGACTGATGTCAATATGTTTTTTACCGTGAGATTCATCATATTTTTATTGTACCTGATATGAGCAGGAGAATTTTGCAGCCCTAAAGAATTTATCTATGAAATAGACATCTTTGATATGGTAGTTTCCTTCGACATTTTTAGAAACCATTTCTCAACCTTGTGTACAAAGGAGTTCCTCCAAAATAGAATTCAATCCTATAGACAAAAATTCAAATAAGTGGTTGTCAAATAAGGCCAGTGGCGTGTGTGTACATGGCTTTACAGGTTGTTCATAGACCACCCCTATCCCCAGAGAGCAGCTCAGTGTGTGTACTACTATCCAGTGCCAAAAGTTTCTTTTAAATAAGGAATACTGGAATTTAAATAGAAACTCAGTTGTAAGTATCTAACTCATTGAAAAATGTTAGCCGCATGGTACTTTCATCAGCTCACTGGCACATTAGAAGCTAATACCAAAGAGAGCAGGTGCTGGCTGTGAACAAATCTAACTCTGAAAACAGGAAAGGATGTATATGATCCCTATACATTGCACACATTGAAACTTTCCCCCCAAAATGTGAAACTAGCAGGGAGGGTGACAAGGGAATAATAGAGGCATCAAGATGTTATGTACATGTAGAAATCTGTCAAATAATCCCATTCATCTATATAACCCATGTGCACTACAAAAGAGGGGGAAAAAAATAAAGTAGGGTCAGCTACACCCAGACTCTAAGGCTGGCACATCTCCATGACACTTAAAATACAAAGCAGTATCTGTTCTTTTAAAAGGACTCAGAGAAAAAGTAAGCCTACAATTTATAGTATTTTATCATTATCCCTCATTGTATAATTTGCAATAATACTGTGCGTTTGGGCGAGCTTATTTTTACTGGGCCTTCTATCTTCCTCTGTGAAATGGAACTCCTCACAAGATCTCCTGGATTGAGTAGAGAAACAGATTTGTTTATATAAGAATAGAGCATCTCAGGAGTCAGGGAAGTCTTGGGGAGGTTCAGTATGTATTTGACTTGCCCTTTTCCAATGGCAGGCAGTGAAATGGTGTGTACAGGGTGAGGCCAACAGCTGGATATGAGGGGGATTATAACATCCATATGGTCACTGGCTTCTTTAGAGAGACCGGGGCTATGTCCACACTACCCGGGGATAGCTGTCTTTTAAAATACTGAATCAAAATTTGTGTTGGAACCACATGTGCCGCAGTGGACCTAACACTGATGTGACTGCTCTCTCTATGACTTCCCTCATATCTTTGTTTTAAATTCCATAAAAATACCCCCCAAAATCCCCTACATACTTTCCTACAAGAAGAGAAGAGGGAGAGTAACATTAAAATGTTCCTTATGGGACGTCTCATTTCAGGGCTGTTTTTGAAGTAGGTAAAAAGTACCCTCTGAAGCAATAATGGCTGAAATGGCAGCGTCCAGGCCTGCCATTTTCCTAAATGGGTCACGTGCACCCCAGAAGTCATTCACTCCTTATAAATGCACCTCAAGTGAAGTTGTGTCTTGGTTACTTGATTTCATTTGGGGTCACATAAGATCAGATGGATGGGTAAAAAACCTAAGATAGGGCTGGGGATTTAGCTCAGCAGTTCGGTGGCCTGCCTTGCAAGCACAAGGACCCGAGTTCAATCCCCGGTACCGGAAAAAAAAAAACCTAAGATATATTGTTCCGTGTACCATCAAACCTTCTTACATTTTGTTAGCATTTTCTTAGAATGGAAAATCTTACACAAAAGGCAGCAGAGCTTACATGACACACCATAAATGTGCCTAAATCTTAAATTCTCCTGAATGCCACACAGGTGTCAATCGTGACCCAGAGTCACATCCCCAAAGTTAACTGTTGTTTGTACAATTAGTTGTTTTCATATTTACATTTAAAATTTTGTAGGCTTTGCATTTAACACAAAGTTTTAAGGCATGCGATAACTACAAAAATATATGTGCCATCAGCAAAATGAAGTTTTTACTATTAATGTGGAAATAACAATTCTGGTAGGGTATCCAGCCAAATACAAACAGAATTTAGCAAACGGACATCATCCATTTCTATTTCTTTTGCAAGAATGAAATCAAGTGATTTTTGCCACTGTAAATAACACTACCCCCCAATTGTGGCAGGACAGGGATAATTAGTGCTGAAAGTCTTCTACGTTTATTAATATACAAAACCCATCTGATATTATAGTACCATGTACATTAATAACATTATGCTTTTAAAATCTGGGCCAATCCCTCATCTGCTTCACACGAGAACATCTGAGAATAAACAGAGATGTGTCTGCTGCAGCCACTGAAACAAGAAACAAAATGACTCGGCTTCTACTTACATTTAAAGAAATAAATAGGGAAAAAATTGACTTAAGTCATTTATAGGCTAAAAATTCTGCATTTAAAGACTCATGTCTATAGGTTAACAAAATATTTCCATATAGTTGGCATAAACTGGATCTAAGAAATCGCCCTTACCCTAAACAGAGACTACTTCCTATTTAAAATGACCTTGCTGCGTAACACACATAAGCCATAAAAATTCCCCCAAAGTTTTATTTTTCTATGTGAATATGTCATGACTGAGCTTTGGTTACAAAATTTTAGAATTGATATGCATTTTTAGAACTCAGTTAAATGGGAAGTGAGGTTAAAAAGCTCCCTTTTTATTTCTGCTAACCTAGCAATGAAGTCTAAAAGGCAAACATTTTAAATTATCAAAAGTAAGTTATCAAAAGTAAAAATATAAATGCATGCACGATAACCCCATCTGTTCCAGATTTATAAAATAGATGTTCTTCACCAATCAGGTGGGAGTTCATTCATCTACACCTATAAACATTTTTGCCAAAATCTTGTTATTTGGGTACCCTTCAAACCACTTTAATACAACATTTAAAGGAAAAATTCAGAAGATAAATAAAATGAAGACCCTTTGAAACATATGTCCATGATGCTTTGTAAAGAGTGAGAGAAGCTGAAGACCATGTGTTCTCTTACAGGTCGTCTATTTTGATGTCTCAGATTTGTTCTCCCTGGATATCTCAGAGGTGAGTTCCTTTCAAATCCAGATCAGATGACAGTTTTGCGGCAGCCAGTGGTTACATCTCAGTATAATGAAATCATAAAGCAGGGCAGGGAGGGACAGTTAGGTGAATGCCAGTCCTCACTGTACTCAGTCACAGATTTGGATTTGCTGAAATCCAGAACACTCTTCCACCGAGGATGGTGATCCATACGAGAGAGCTCTGCATTCAAATGCCCCTCTCCTCCTGGATGAACGCACAGCTCTGTCTCTGCTACCGAGTTACCTAAAACAAAATAAATAAGTGAGCATTGGAGACCCTACACACCCCGCAGAGAGCCCTTCCGGCCACGGGAACAGTAAGTCCCGGCCTGTGTCACTGGCGTAGCTCGTCAGTTTGTACCATTATCTTGTAACCAGCCTCACCTAATCCTCTCTTCAAGTCCTTTCCACGTCCTGCTTTTAGATTGTAAAGAAAACATGCAAAATGTCCTCTATCACAGAGTATTGTGTGCCCTAGATCTGGTTTTGGTGAGGTCATAAAACTCCATCAGGTCAGGTACACTTGTGGCCCATCATTACATGTGTGCTGAGCATGCGTTGTTAGTGGCACTGAAATTTTTTCAGATGAATGCTGATTAAAATCATTGTGTCCAGATCAAAATTTTGCCTTTTAATGCAGTTGATCTGTTTTTTTAAATGATTATTTTATAAAACTACTATATTTAATAGAAACAAATCTGTAAAAAAGGGCGTTGTATTTCTAATTTTTAAACATTTGGGCATATTAATTATAATCTGAGTAAAGAGTACTGCAGTTTCTATAGTTTTATTTGGTCATGTAAAAAAATCTGCAAGTTAGTCAATACTCTAGAGAGGAAGTAGCTTAAGATTTTAACATGAATATGCAAAGAAAAAATTTTAAATATACTATTTTTAAATATACTATGTCATGTGACAGCGTAATCATCATGCCTGGGTCTTTAGGTCCAACCGGGTATTTATTCTAACTTCAGCCTTGCTGGTGACTAACATAGGCATGACCTTTATTTACGTACTCCACAATAGAATAGCTCTTTTGTTTGGGAATGCTGCAGCAAACCAAACGAAAGCCTTGTCCTAATGGAGCTTGCATTCTAGAGAAGGACCTGTAAGACCTTTTCTGCTCAGAATTAAATATGGTGCCTATCATCAGCCTGGCAGGACTTAGAGGCCTTGCAGCCACCACACAAGTCTGCCTTTATGTTACTCACAATAATAGCCACAGATAACAGGTAAACTGAAGGGTGTTGCTTTATTCAAAAAAAAAAACTAGTAGTACAGAATTCATATTTCATATAGTTTTTTTGAGTTAAAAAATATGGTTATTCTTCTTATTTGTTTTCCGACCATTTAAAACTGTGAAATCCATTCTTAGCTCTCGGGTCATACAAAAACAAGACAACGCAGTGGGTTTTGTCCATATGCTATAGCTTATTCCTGAGAAGATGGGACAAACAAATACATGAAAAAGAAAATCTGAGGAGGAAACGCATACCATGGAGGAAAGGAAAGCACGATAATGGAGAACAGAAACCCTGAATCAGGAAAGGTTACTGCGACACACAGGATTCGGAACGAAGGGGAGCTGAGGAGATACTCCAAGGCAGTGAGGGGAGACCACACCAACTGGAAGAACTTGCCAGGCAGAGGAAGAGGTAAAGAACAAGGGGGCGAGGACTGTGCAAAGACTTTTGCCCCTCCCTGGGTAAGGTATAAAGATGAGATGAGGAACACATGGCCGGACTCTCCGTTTAAAGGGATCACTTTGGCCCAGGTGCTGAAAGGGGAAACAGCCAGGACTTCTCAGAAATAGGCTGTAAGAAAAGGAAACAAGGTGAAATCCAAGGTCTTTGGTGTGATCCGTTGGATGATAGGGTTAACCATGTTTTTAGTTGGAGTGAATTATCTCCTAGCCTTCATAGGTCCTTATCAACAAAAGGTACTTGTCTCCTTCAGTTGTAGTGAAGAGTAAAAGAAATACATGAATTGATTACCACTTGGGAAATGGTGGCTTTTGTCACGTTCACTCTTTCTGGATGCTTCATGCCTCTATATAGAACCCAAAAGCATTCATAGCCAAGTATCACTTTGCACCAAGGGCCTCATTCTCAAAAACATCTTATTTCATGTGCCTTGGTCTCTGTGCCCAGCCCACCATGGGAAACAACACTGAAAGTTAGATGATCGGATACTCTCATATTTCCTTTCCTTTAAGGTTATTGTTGTTCCTACTGCATGTGGAAGATTTTATTGCTATTTTTTAAGTTTTGATGGATACAAAGTCACTAACGTGCCAATACTAGCTCCACTCCCACGCAGCAGGGCATCCTGACTGGAGAGCTCAGAGGAGACAAGACTTCAGGGTGACGTAGTTGTCTCTGATAGATCTTGAAAAACAAGAGGAATTGTGGAAGGGTGAGAAGACAGCCATGAGTTTGGGAATTAAATGGGCTATGTGGTGACTGGCAAATTCCAGATGCTTATACTTTGAATTATTTACCAAGGTGGACCCAGTGATGGTGTCTCAGCAGGGAAGGAACTGAGCAAAGAGTTTATCTTGGTGACGGAGAAAGCAGGTTGGAAGCCGATTAAGGGCGGAGCTTAGGAAGACTGGTGGCTCTCACAACCACCCTAAGGAAAACAGTTTTAAAGAATAGTTTTCTAAGCCCTGTCCAGATTTACTATTCCAAAATATCCTAGAGATGGGATCCACACTGTGTTTTTAACAAGTCCTCACAATGACTGGTAACCGTGATGCCATTAAACCTTGACATTCACCGGGGGTGGTAGCCCAAGACACAGAAGATCTCACTTAGTTAGAAAGCCATTGAAAGAAGATACTGGATAGGACTTGAATGTATTATATGTTACAGTAAGGTGGTTGCTGAAGAGAGAATGGTGCTTCTGTTTTTAAAATTTGTTTATGACGACTCATACATTATTTTTATTTCTGGTCTGACCAGTATGGGTGTCACAGGTTATTAAGACAGCATTATCCACCGGGGATTTGGCTCAGTGGTTCCACTGCCTGCCTCGCAAGTGCAAGGACCCGAATTCGATCCCCAGTACCAAAAAAAAAAGATAGCATTAGCCAATTCAAAACTTGAAGTCTCTTAAGGTTTAAGCAAATAATATGTGTAAGTTACTTTTATTCTCATCCTCATCCCTCTTGGAATTTTCCAATTAGAAATTTTTGGACACTTCAACTTTGAAGAACAAAATGAAATAAGAGAACAAGGTGGGTAGCTTGCTTGCAAAGAGCTATGGGAAAAAGTACCCTATTTGCTGAAGCTGTTTTTCAACCTGAGAACTACTGAAATTTTGGGGTCAGGTTATGGCTCGTTGTGGGGATGATCTTGTGCTTTGTGGGATGTTTTCTAGCATCCTCAGTATTGACACACAGATGCTAGGAACATCCCCACCTCAACACAGAACAACCAAAAACTGTCCTCCTATATTGCAAAATGTCCACTCAGTGACAAAACTGCCCCTGATTGAAAGCTACTCCTCTAAAGATACAGTTCTTCACACTTAGTAGAGGGTGAATAAAATAAGAATACTAAAAAATATGAGTTTCTCAAGATTCGATGTGATGTACTTTTACTGGCAAACATCACAAAAGCCCTGGCAAAGGCTTGGCTTTGGGGCTAGGAGGACTTTATGCTCTTGTAAGAAGCCTTAATTCTGACAATTTGAAATGAGCAAAAACTATTCAGCCCAGAGAATGCAGCAAAACCCAGAATTCAATTAGGTACAGTAGAATTGAGGCAAGACAACAAAGAGAGTTACATTTTCTCACAGGAAGTAGCAGCCGCACCTTCTCCAGAGATGCTGAAATCACACTGGTAGAATAAACTTGATGCCAATGTTTTATATCTGGGAAAGATGACTGGTTAGGGAATTCTCTCTTATTTCCATATCTTCATCTAAGGCATTAATATCTCAACTGCTTACTCTTCTCATATTTGCATTTAAATAGAATGCAAAATTCTGATATAGGAGGCTTACGAGCCTCTCTGTGTTTTGATTCTGCTGTGCATGAACTGTTTAAGGAAAATGGAAACTTTTGTTATATAGGTAACACCCCCTCTAGACAGGCAATCGCTCTGCCTTTATAGGACTGCTCTCTCTCCTGTGGTGTGTGGTCTGCACCAATTTCAAGAAAAAGATGTAGCTTCCAGGGCACTAAGCCCACCACGGAAGCTGGTCTCAGCTCCACAAATGACTTTATTCTATACTGTGGTATAACTCACAACAAACAGAGAATGTTTTATGCAGTTCAAGTCACAGTGACTTAGACTAATAAAGGAAACAAAGTTTTATGACTTTCAAATTATTCTCAAGTGGCATATCACTAAAAAAAAAAGCAATCCAAGCATCATGATGGCTTGGGGAACTGTGTTATGTTTCTACAACTTTTCCAAGTGCTAAATGAAATGTCACTTCCATTGACGATTTAGCTAGAGCAAACTTATATTCCCAGCACATAGAGCCAAAATGCCCCAAAAGGTTTGCTTCCTGCTAATTCCCTCTCTAACTGCACATAAATAGTGAAAGGGAGAGAGAACTGCTCCACCAAGAGAACTACTTAGACACATTTTGTTCTGGGATGTAGTTGGCCTCTGTTCATGGTCTTATTTTATGTCTCTATCTAAAAATCAATATAAATACCATCTTCCAAGTGTTATTCCTTAATCTACAAGAAATATAATGAAAGAAGAAATTTAGCACTGATAGAGACTTCAGTATTTTTATTTAGGAAGGACTTAGGGAAAAATGGCTGAAAGGGTCAGGCGTGACAGCAGAATAATCCTGAGGCAGGGTTTGCTTAGCAAGCACTCGAGCTGGGAAGTTCACTGGGAATGACTCGGCAGGAAGGCCGGGAAAGGCGGTGGGAGTGTTAACCTCCCTGCTCTTCAACAAATGACTCCAAGGACTTGCAAAGCCCTGGATAGAAAAGAACACAATCCTCCCTTGGTATCCATGGGGACCTGGTTCCAGAACTGCCATGGATACCAAAATCTGCAAAAGCTCAATTCCCTTGTATAAAGTGATGCAGCATTTGCTTGCAACCTGTGTACTTCTTACCATTTACTTTAAGTCACCTGTGGGTTCCTTGTTATACCCCACATAGTGCAAATGCTATGGGAATAGTTTGTGTTATGTTTTAGGGAATAAGGACAAGAAAAGTCTGTAAAAGTTCCATATAGATGCAATTAAGGTTTTCCAATACTTTTCATCTGCAATTGATTCCTTAAATTCAGACCCTGTGGGTACAGACACAGAGGACCAAGTATAAATCAAGTCATAACAATATCACTAATGGTGACAGCTTACGTGATAACAGCAATTCATGTTGAAAATGGTCTTCATTTTGCCATGATGATTTCAACTACAATAAGGAACTAGTCAACTGACTTAATATTCTGTTGATTATTTGGGGTATGATAATGTCAGCTAAAGTTGTATTTAATTTAAAACGTATAAAATCATATATATTTTATATGTTTAAAATCATATATATATTATTTTTCATTTAATCTCATATTAACAGCATATTTGTGCACATATTTTGTAGCATCTTGTTTATTATACTTTACATACACTCTGAGGGGGAGTAGTCTGCATTTAATCTCAATGACTGGAGAAGGTAAATGAGAACTCTTGGTGCTTAGTTATTCAAAATATTCATACATGGGAAGGATAAGTTGAGAAGTTGGTCATGCTACATTATATATCCTCAGGGCCAAATCTCAGCTACATGAACCAAAGCATCACTTCATTCAGTAATGACATGCAAAGACTGTATACATCCAACTCTGATAATCTCCCAATGATTTCTGTGACTAATTTTTTTGCCAGGAATTACTCACCAAGGCATTCAATTGGCTCTAGGACTACCACGGTGAGCAAAACAGACATAGGGCCTGGCTTCCCAGCACCCCATTGACCAGCAAGCTGTGGATAATAAGCAAATGAGTGTAGCCATCCATGTGAAATGTGGCCATAGTAAATGCTCAGAGATACAGGGCCATGCATCCAATCAGGATCAAATTCCCTGAAAAAACATAGGTTTATTAGGGAGGGAGGGACGAGAGAGGGATGAGGGAGGGAAGGAAGCACATTCCATAAAGAGGAATCAGCACTGCAGAGTGCCCTGATGAGGGGGACTAAGAGAAGGCCAGGAGGTCTGGAGCAGAGCAAACCAGGACTAAAAGAGGCCAGATTAACTATGATAGGCGGAACAGGCAGATGCCAGTGGGCCAAAGACCCAAGGAAAGCTGCTAGACTAACTTAGAAGACAGGCGTTTCGTAGAGGTCCGTAGCCATTGTACAGAGGATACAGTCTGGACGAGATGGTGGATGGAATGAGAATAGGAACTATGGCTATGAGGAGTCATGGAAGGATGGGTGGTAAAAATCTCAAGTACAAACCCCTGGGACACAGGGAGACTGGAGAAAAGATAGATTTTTAGTTGAAAATGGGGTAGACAAGGACGCCCTTCAGAGACAAGGACTGCAAAGAGGACTATTAGAAAGGGAGCTGTTGACCCATAAGACTTGACTAAGGGCCTTCAACCATTTACTCTCTGTTAAGGTAGCAGGTATTTCTCCTTGAGTTAATCATCTGTATGGATCCTTGCTTGCCATGCTGCTTTGATGCACACCTCTGTCACCTCTGAAACTTGCCCTTTAAATTGGGCTCATGAAGGAGCAGGCATGAATTTATTGGCCCTGCCTAAACTAATAGTTCACCCACCAAATCACTTGCTGTATAAAACCTGGAACAGAGAGTGGTGTTAAAAGAGTGGCTTTTCTACAAGGCCAAAGCCATAGGGGACACAGCTGAAGCCGACTTGGCAACATACAATAATGCCACTTTGTTTATGGCAGGACGAAATCAGAGGGAAGCCCTATAATTAACAAGGCATTGCTGTTGTAAATGAGAGGTGTGTTTTGTCTATACTTGCCTTCGTGGTTTTGACTTTATTCCCACTGCTACAGGACCAACCTGAGTAATCGGGCAGTACTTTGCAATCCTCTCCTTCCAAGCATGGGTTCATGTGACACCACCATTTCTGAATCACAATAGAAGCTGGAAGACAGAGGTCATATGGACAAAACAAAATTAAACACAAATTAGTACAAATTAGATTCCAAAACAGCTAACACTGCACCATAATAAACAATTTTAAAGAATCCAATCATCCAAGTCCTCTGCAAAATCAAATGCTCCCTTTTCTGTAGTTGGCTCTCTGTGATACAGCTGGTGAGGAAAGACTTCATGGTAGGTCTGCCTGAGTTTGTATATGGTTGTATTACCGTCTATATTTTTAATGACTTTGGACTAGTTCTCCAACTTCTCTTCAGCACAGTCCCTTCACTTAAGAAACGGGGATGAAAATATATCCTTGCCCCAGATGTCAAAAGGAGAAAGTGAATCCATGTAAGGAACTCCACCAACTTTGGATGAGCCATTGTGTTCTCAGGAAAGGTTAGTGATTTGACCATAGACATTTTGGGTGGCATGGTCCAGTGGTGTTGATCCTGCAATGGAGTCATGTAGGTGCTATTTGGTCATTAAAAGCAAGGGAAGAATGCAGTAAAACTGCACCCCTAAAGGGTATTCCAGGTAGTGGTTGCCAACTAAAATAGGAGGGCTGGGCCTTTCCCCACACAGCTAGCTGAGTGAATAGTTTCAACTACTTCACTCGTGCACTCATTTTCACCTCACCATCCCCAGAGTAGTCTCCCCATAAAATGATTTCTGTTTTAAGCTTATAAAGCAGAAAATAGCATCCCACATCTCTGGGACAGAAATAGAAGAAATTTCATCATCTCACTAAATACCACAGATTCACAGGGCCAAAAAAAAGGATTGTGATTAACCCTTGAAGGTGAACAAAATTATCAGAGAAGAGGTGAGGCCAATAGAATTGTCCCCTTTTCTCTTGTTGAAACACAGCACTCACATAGAAAACACACCCCAGTGGATATTTTGGCTTTTCCTTTGATAGAAAAAAGTATAGCAGTGTTGGTGAACCTTTGAACCTTTTAGAGACGAGTACCCAAACTGCAACCCAAAACCCACTTATTTACTGCAAATGCCAACAATGCAGTTAACCCTGAATATTGAGGTTTTGGTTCAGAAAAAAACAACTCATACCTTAACATCTCTTGTCTTAAAAGAAAAAACATTCCAGCCATAGGTGTGCCACCACTGAATTATAGTTTTGTTTTGTTTTTTTTTAATTAGAGAGATGTAAGACCCGTGGCTTTTTAAAAAATATATTGACATGTAAAGATTGCATATGAAAAGATGAAAATAAAGTGTTTGTAGATGGGGAGGGGAGGAGGGCATGAAGGGAGGGCAGGGGTAAGGGGAAAAAATGAGAATCAAGACTTGTCATATAGAGGTACAAGATCCCAACAATGAATGTAACTGTACTGTATCCCTAAAATGTACCAATAAACTCAATTAAAGCTGAAAAAAAAAGATTGCATAGTTAAGTTATATATACAACATGATCTGATATACCTACACATTGTATAATGATTCCCAAAAATTAATTCATCCATCATTTGTGCTATACATTAGATACCCAGAACTTATCTCTACTGAATGTTTCTATCTTTTGACCCATATCTTTCCACCCCCTACTCCCAGCCCTGGAAACCACAATTCTACTTTTTTACATTCCATACATGAATGAGATGATACAAGATTTGTATTTCTGTGCCTGGCTTCTTCAACTTAGCTTAGTGTCCTCCAGGTTCATCTATGCTGACAAAAGATGGCAGAATTTTTTTTCTACGATGAATAATATTCCATTGTGCACATATAAACTACATTTCCTTTATTTTCTGGCCCCAAATATCACAACAATCTCACAAATGCAGGGGGGCTGTGTCATTTTCAAAGTGTCTTTATTATTCCTTTTCCAGTTGTACCAGTAAGCTTCCAAAGCAGGAAAAGGAGGCAGGTGGAACCAGAATAAAAATCAGAGTTTTCTGCGAAGTTGGTAAACTAAGGGTAGAGAGGCACTAGAAGCAAGGGCATCTTTCTCTCTGTTCTGAAGTCTTTCTACTATACCACCAGGTAAGATACTTCACTTATTTTTATTATTCCAATTATACAAGTGTATGGACTGTGGTATAATATTTTAACACAGAGATACAGTGTGTAATGATCAAATCAGGGTAGTTATTTCTGTCCTGGTGCACATGTTTTAAATTTTTCTGATTAGCATGTACTGATTGCACTTGTGTATGGGGTACAGTGTGACATTCCATACATGTACAGGATATGTGCTATTTCACATAGTGCTAACCAGTCATCGCTTGTTCTCTGAAGCTTGGGTTTGGTCCCAAGTGGATGTGGTTTTCTGGAAAGGGACCAGAGCTCTGTGAAAGAAGACTTGATAGGTGACTAAGGTGACCACTGATCTAACAAGTAGAGCAGGGTTGGGGCTCACTGACTGTCCCACAGCAAACCCTCGTGGCTCAAGGGAGAGGGCAACAGGGAAGCAGTGGACACCAGTTAAGGAGAAAATCTGGGAAGAAACCTTCAGGAGCTCTTGGTTTTACTTGGTTCTCTAAACAGTAGTGAGCCATGGAAGGTGTGTGAGCGAAGCAGTTCAGTAAGACTGGGAAACCTGGGGCCTAGAAAAGTAGCTTGCAAGGGATAGCAGCAGGACAGAAAGAACTCTAACAGGAAACACCAGCTGAGGGGCGAGCCCTGCATAGGAACAAAATGAATCAGAGTATCTGAGCATCACTGCCAGAGCACATCAGCACCTCCAGGGCCCGTGGAGACACACGATGCTCCTGATGCCAAAAACCTGGAAAAAGCTTGAGGGGAGAAATAGCAAGTAACGGATTCAGGTGTCTATTGTGGAAAAGCATGCCACATCTAAACTATAAATAAAGTACTATGCATATGCTTTCAAATGACTTAAAGGAAACAAGTTCAAAGTCTTGGAAACTTGTTTACCGGTTTCCCTTCACTGAATTGCAAAATATGGAGTGATTCTCCTATATAGGTAAATGTGCCATAGAATCCTTAAAAATAAAAATCACTTTCATATCTTACAGAAGAGTGTACTGGGGAAGGTGTCCCCACCGATAGATATTTTGCCCGTGATGTGTCTCTTCCATGAAAGACCTAAGAGCAAAAGCTCTTTCAGAAAGAAGAGAGATGAAGGGAGGGCAGGGGTAAGGGGAAAAAATGAGAACCAAGACCTGTCATGTAGAGTTACAAGATCCCAATGATGAATGTAACTATACTGTATACCTAAAATGTACCAATAAACTCAATGAGAGAAAAAGAAAAAGAAGAGACACAAAGTAGCCACACAGTAACCCAACTCTCAGCTCCAGTTTCCATTATGAGTTTAGGACCTAGGGCTCCCAGCAAAGGCAAGAACTGACTTGGAGGTGAAGCTGACAAGAACAAGTTGATTAGACAGCGAGAAAGTTGAATCTTCTTGTGTATCCTGAATATAACTTCAGGCTGTGACAATGGGCCAGGGGTTGGACTCTTAGACTGACTATTGACAATGTCTTCTCATTTTTCTGAGTATTATCTTCTTAGGAAAATACATTTGTAGAAGGCAAACATTGTCTTCTTCCTACATTATCATAATACCCCTTAAAGGAAAAAGTGCCTCACTACTTCTGTTCAAAATAATAATCTTTTAAAAGCCCCAGGCTTCCTGATTTAGAAAACACATAATATCCACTAGTCTCAAGATGCCAACTATAATGAATTTCTAGATTGATACAAAAAAAAAGGACAAAAAGACAGTGGAAGTGACCAGTCAATTCTAAAATGCTCTTTTCTAAGTGAAAACTTAATGTGACTAATTAGCTGTTTTGCTTTTGATGAATTTTCTAAACTAGTTTATAAAATATTACTCAGTTCAACAAAATGCAATTATGTATTTATGTAGCCACTTAGATAAGCACATCTTTGAATCTCACTTTTCAAGAGATAGTCTTTCATGTATTGACTCAGTTACATTTACATAGATTTAAGGTGGTGTATTTTTACACTTCAGCTATGGGCAGAATGATTAAGAAAACATCTTCCTGGTATGTGTCTCCTAGAATATGCTCTGAGATTTTAATGCACCTTTGTTATTTTGTTCTATTATTTCAATATGCTCTCTGTGTTCTTGTAGAACAAAGCCATTTGTTAACTTTTATATTATTGTTTTGAGAAAAGAAACGATGCCAACTTAAGCCACATGGCACACATAGCAGCAGAAGAATACTAATAATTTTAAAGGAATCTCACTTATTCGCACCTTCTGCCAATAAAACAGTCTGGTTTATATTCAAAGTACAGAGGCCCCCACATGAGTTGGTGCACAAATCAGTACTACACAGACTGATCTTGGTAAACTGAGTGTGTTCTCCTTGCTAAGTGCAGCCACACACAGCATCATCCCCACACACCAGGGACTTCTAAGCCAGGGTTTCTTAACCTTCAAACTACCAACATTTGAGGCCAATTGAATCTTTATGCGGAGTCTGTCCTGGGTACTGCAGAGGTTCAGTAGCATCCATGGCCTCTGCCTAATAGATGCCAGTGGACACTCCAAAGTGGCAGGTATCCTCAGAGGGACAAAATCACCCCTGTTTGAGAAACATTAATGTATAGTTTTTAGGCCTGCTCAGCTCAAGACCTGCTCAAAGCTTTGGCGTATGAAAACAATTCTAATCTATGGTAAACACCATGCCACGTCTACTCTGTCTCCCTGCTGTCCGCTACATGGGCAACAGCACAGGTCTGAAGTCATTGTGCCTCCCACTTGCTTGCTGTTACACATAAATCCTGGCACCCCCATAAAACCTATGCCAACAAGGTGACCTGTAAAATGAAAAGAAATTGCATTTTTTTCCTCTTCAGAAATCCTATGGTGCTTTAGAAGAACTCTATCCATAGCTTCATTTATTGACACACTCTGTTCACCTACTCTTCCAAAATGAAAATTCCCAGAAGGAATTAAATCCTACTGCAACATCAAAATCTCTGTTTACCTCTCCAGTCGTGTGTCTTGTCATTTCCCGGCATACAAATCTATTTCTGAT